AAATGTTTCAAAATTCATCTTCTCTGTGTCAGTGCCAGGTACGCTTCCAGGTTGGCGTGGTACTTCCTGTGTTACACACGATGCCCTGAGCCGTAAACCCCCTTTTGATAAAATTTCGCTGCAAAAGACCCTTTCCGAGAAGAGCTTCGATTTAGCAGTACAGCGATGAGAAGATTGGAAAACGTTGCTGTAGGCAGGGCTGATGAGATCAAGGCAGAGAAAGTCTGGATCAAAACGGTCTGGTACATTCCTCGCCGTCTGAAAATCAACAGACTTTATTCGGCTTGTTCCATTTTCTAGGGAGTACGTCAAACTTTTCCAAATATCCCTAAATGGTCCCCAGTCTCACCTTTGGAACTACAGTGTATAAGTGCACTGAGTTCTTGCCTCATCTTTCAAGACTAAAAGTTCCTATTGTGTTCTCAGGCTTTGGCGTGGAAAAGAACATTTTATATAAACCCCTAGCTAATTCTTGTCTAGACAAAGCTAGCTGCTAGTGACTCTGAGGGACGGATTATCGCTCTCTGATGAGTGCAATTCCCAAGACATTATAAAGCGATCTCCACACATCCAGGTTGTCGATATTTAGCCTCTTAAGCTCAAGTGAAATGACCTATATGAGGCTCTGACTCCTAAAATGCTTCTTTGTTTTGGTCCCGGAGTGTAAACTTCCCACAGTAATAGCTGTGCTTCAGCAATACCACAGATGTCTCTAAAATTGTTCCAAAGCCTGCGCTGTTCTCTCGACAGTTTTAATATACTTAATAATGATGAGATTTGTACGTGAGCCACACATGCTCAGCTGGCTGGCTGTGTGACAGAGCTAGGCTAATCAGAACACTTCCTTTCTTGTTAATCCGTTAATGTGGTACACAGGAAAGTCTGTGGGGAGATATTCAGGTGAGGAGGAAATGCAGCAGGTGCAACCAGCAGACAGTTGTTCCTAATGTTCACACCTGAGGGAATGCATTGTTGCACAGAGATGCTATTTGCTGATTTGGCAGCAGTTTAAGTGCAGCACAGTAGAGAATACTTTTTGTTTGTTTGTTTGAGATTTAACTATTTGATTTTTTGCTCTTACAATATTCCTACTGGTGTCTTAATTTGGTTATTACATATACACATCTGCTGCGCTCTCCTTGGTGCCTGGTTAGAATATTTTTTTTCCTCTTCTTTCGTGATGAGGTAGTGCTCCTGTTTTTGACCCATGCTTGACTCAGTAAAAGCTGCCTAAGATATTAACGATTGTAGCTGCATTTTTCCTATCGTGTGATGTTTTCACTTGCATGTAGCTTCTTATACTTTGCTACGTGTATCTTTCAGCAGCGGGAGAGGTTTCTGCGACACAGTGACACTGGTCCTGTAGGCGATTGGCCGTCACCACTCGAATCCTCCACCTCACCTGGATCCAGATCAGTCAAGGATGGCAACGGCTGTGCCAGACCGAGGGCGTGGAGTGTCCGCACCTTCCAGGACTTCCTCCCTCCTTTGCCACAGCTTCATAAGAAGTGGTGCAGCTGGAACTCCACCAGTCCCTTCACCAAGCTGGTGGACAGCGTCAGTACTACAATCATTACATACAAAATAAAATGAAGCTACTTGAATGGTCAGATTCTACCAACAGACTACGTAAAATATGATTCGGATGAACTGAACCTTGAAGAATGTTCATGAAATGTAAAATGAGCAGTTTAGGAAAACTTTGTGTGAACAAGCAGGATTTTTCCATCACCAGTTGGTTAAATTAAAGTCTGTTAATTGTGAATGTCGTTCCAGACTCCATCCAGTTTGGTTGCTAACTGCAGAGGTGGCGACAGCAGGAAGGTTTTCTCTGATGTTCACCTGGAAGGCAAGGCAGATACCAGCACAGCCTCAGACTCATCCATCAGCAATGCCTCCTATCCCCTCACGCAGCCTGCCCAAAGACAGCGGCGCCTCAACTCCACCAGCAACCTGCGACGTCCTCGGTTCACAGGGCCGTGTTTTGGCCTCCTCTCAGCGACAGCAGACCTGGCGAAGGCCCCGGGCTCCTCCTCCTCAGAGCCCGTCTCTAGAGCCTCTTCCTCCCCTCAGTGTCAAATTGAGAGTGGCCACGCTCGAGATTTCCCAGGTGAGGGTGATCACATCAGCGTGCCTGTGTTTGCCATCTCTGAGGAAGAGGACCGGCAGCCTCTGGTCCCAGCCGAACACCTGGAGCAGACCTCCGCATCTGCTTTGCTCAACGGGCTGGTTACAGGGACATGCGAAGGCAAGGCGCCTGTTCTAGGAAGCACCAACCTCGGCTCCCAGAGGCCCAGAGCAGAGTGGAGGCTTTGGGGAAGCCAGGTGTCAGGAGGGGTCGGTTCACTCTCTTCCAGCGAGTCGAACGCAGTCGACAGCAGCCAGCCATCTCTCAGTGTGTCCACAGGGCTGTGCAGTGTGACCAACCAGATGTGACACGATGGTGATGAGCAGGGACTCTGGTGGGCCAGTTCTGCATTTCTGAACTCTTAGTGTCACTGGGATAAATCTCACTTACTCCTTTAATTTCCAAAATCAACTCTTACAGAATTGCATCTCCTGTAGCTTCCTGTTGATATACACGCATATTATTCTCACTGTAGTTTTTCTATTTTTATAAAGTTTGTTGTTTCGCACCTTTCAGTGAGTTGTAACTCCAACCACGGCACTGTTTTCAGTAGCTCTGTCATTGTGGATTCTCTTCTTCCTGTGCCAGCCTTTTGCTTTTTTTGATCTTCTTCATGGGGACGCTTCTTTAGTACATCGTAGCAAATACTTAGTTGCATATTACCTAAAAGTGTTCCACACAGCATACGGTAGATAATACATTTATATTAATGCTACAACAGTTCAGGCATTCAGTATGTAGCCCTAAGACTGATGCTGGATTATAAAAGGGAAATCAAAATAAAAGCATATTAAGTACCAATATACACCATTACATAGCATAAAGACAGAACTAGCATTCACAATAGTATTTAAAAAAAAAGTCAGTATGAATAAATGTAAAGTTTTAATAAAGGCAAAATCATTTGCAGCTTGTGTTGTTGATTAACTCAGAGCTACACAAAGAGTAAAAACTTGTTTGAAACCAAAGTCAGAATGAAGATTTGCACTGAAATCACATGTTCAAAGGTTACAAAAGCAAGTCAGTTTTTCTTTCAGGTATCATTTTTTTAATGGTAAAGATTAACAGCAAAATCAGATCCATACGCATTTTTCAAAGACAATTGTAGAATACAACAGTGTGAAGAGACTTCTCATGATGAAAACCAAACACTTTCTGCATGTGCCAAGTGCTGCTCACACTAGCAGTTGATTATAGTCCAGACTAATTGTTCAAATAGTGCATCGCAAATAGTTTTTAGGCATCTGAAAACTCGTTCATCTCTCGCACCGACAGATGCGCAGCTCTTAGCTGATGTTACTGTGACAGATGCCTGTTTGTTCCCACTTTCCTGGGAGCTGTGCTGAGGTAGAATGAAACCTGCCTCTTCCATACTGCTGAGCAGCTTGGTCCAGACTTTTGCACACAAAGTGAGTAAATATTTGCCTTAGTATACAACATAACAATCATTCCCCCCAAACACACACCATTCAAGGGAGAATGCAAAGCACTTCTTCAAAGTCCTCTAATACTAATTCCTGATTGGAGCGGCTTGGGACTGTTGTTGGCTTAGGGTCCCCAGATCTCCTGTAGGGAATAATTAAAACTCAGCCACTCTATCAGGGGATCGACCGGGCTTGTGCTGAGGGCCTGAGCTGCTGAGGAATGCTAACGTAGACGCACCATAACCGAGGGGGTAAAAGAAAGGACAAGAAACACCTAAACCACTAACGTAACAAATTCAAATCAGGAGCTCAGGCAGAGGCCAGGGAAACGCCCCATTCACAATTCAATTTTTCTATCAGTACGCTAATGAAAACCTGATGATTCCCAGACGACACGTTTCATCCACATTAACCGCAGAAAATGTTAATCTTAATAAACCACACATGAACAACTGATTCAAATTATCAAGGAGATTTTTTTCTTTGCTACTGCATTTCTCCTTCACATCTCAGTCTGGAATGGAAGTTTTCATGATTACTCATCAGAGTTTATGAGCCTTACTTATATCCCATACACTGGATACAGACAGTTTTCCCATGATGCTCGATATAATCCAGCAAAATAAATGAGCCGACAATATGTGCAAAGATTCTTAGCAGTAAAAAATAAACACTAAGATTTTTTTTAGACTCAGTACGTTTTTGTTTTCTCTTCAAGTCAACTAAAATACTACATAAATGTAGAAAAACAATACCACCAGTGAACTCACAAAATGTACTGGATGACAGCTAACACCTGCTTTAACAGCTTCTACATCATCCTCCAGCACTTTCTACAGTGACTCTAGGTAAAAGTCAACTAACAGACTACTCCTTCATCCTTGTATTTAAATATAAGGCCCCTATGAGTGTGCACGCTTAAATCTGGCCACACTAAATAAGGCCATAAGAGGCTGATTTGTCAACCTTTACAGTAGACATCAAAAGTTCTCTGTGCATGTTTGCATGCGTTTCTGACACTTGGGTGATGATGAACAAATGGTCACTGGATTCAATAGGACTTAACAGAATTTTGAACCACCAAACATGGTTATACTGCAAATGAAACAAAAACCAGCAGCTTTCTGTACCTGAGGAAAGAACCAGAGAAAAACTGGACAAAATCCAACAAAGTCAACTAAGGTAAGCCTTAATAACACGTAGCTGCAATCACTGCAAATGACAACTTCACAACAGAATGCACTGTTGTGTTTGTATTGGCACAACTGTTCAGTAACTACATGCTGCAGGAGCAGTATATCAAACCTCCATGCTACTAAAGATTTAACTATTACTAGCTGCTTGGAGTGCAATCTATTTTTCCCTCTGTTCTACGCAACCGTGCATTTCATCACAGATTAGCCCTTCCCACGCATCTCTCGCCAGGCGCTCCTCCTACTATACTTTAATCACTTTGGAGATGATTATCCAGAGCAAAAGCACACAACAGAGGCCTCCAGGCCCTCTGGCAGTGTTACAACTCAATGATCCCCTACCCACAGACAAAGTCCTACACAGATATCACATGGGATTACAAATCTACACCATTATGTGAAAGCTGCTTATACATGGCTTTTCACCTTTGCCTGGGAACAGACTAATGCCCTTGTGAAAAAGACCCTTGGAGGTTGGGCATTTACATTTAATAATATTGTTTAAATTCAGCAGTTTTGGTTCTCTTGGCCCAATAAACATGATACAATTTCTGTTACTTAACACTACTCATCATTGTTTCCCCCTAATGACATCAACATATTTTCATCAGCATCATGTTGTAGGAAGCTCTGGATTCTACACCGAGTAAGAGAGCTAATGAACGTCAATACACATAAGGGCTATTAAGCCTCAACTTACCCAGGCTAAGGGGGTACATAGAAAGCGCTTGTAAGCATGTATGGCTCTAATCCATACAGATTGCCTTATTCGCATTATTTTTTGTTGCACATGCTGGAGGACAGATTTATTAGGGAGAACCTAATTACTTCACCTTACAAATAAATGAACTGCTCAGGCAAATAATAGCTGATTACCCGCTTATGGCAGATAATGTAAGAAAAACAGATGAGAATTTAAATGGCAGCATTGTGTAAATTATCTATTAAGGTCTTCACTCCGAGAAGCAGCGTCACACATTTCTGAACTCTGCAATTAATTCTATATGAATGTGCATAGTGTTACTGAAGAGACACCCTTGCCACTGCTGTACATAGAGACTTGATTGTAATATCTGACTGGGATTATTGCATAAGGCGGTTAGCAACAACGGATGCAAAAAGTGATTGTGCCTCCTCGAATGTACGAGATGTTCAGTTATGTCAATTTGACACGGCTGAGGGAAGACGAGCCACGCTGCTGCTTCAGCTCTTGAAACGCGTCTGCTCACAGATGTGGTTGAATTTCCTGAAATTAAAATAAAAAGGGGGGAAAAGTGGTGTAAGATTTGCTTGTAAAGGCAAATGTCAAATGAGGTGAGAGGAACTAAAACAAGCTGGCACAGATCTTTAAAACATGAAGAACTATCTGGCAGTTTATACAAGGACTCCACCTAGTGGCAAGAGGAGTGAAAAACACCACGGTGTCTTGGAGCTCTGTTTTAATCGAGTGTAATGCACCGTTATACGTCTTAACGCCATATTGAGAAACACTGCTACATCTGCTAGACAGCCTGTAACAACACCATCAGGATCACTCAAAGATGCCACCATCTCCCATCGTTTCCAACTGCACTAGAGCTGGGGTCATTAATCTGAGTTTCTGGGATAATTATCTTGTTATTTTAGGCAAATGGGACACACTATTTTGTCAAGTGAATGCATTGTGCTTCCATATATTTATTACTAAAATAAATAAGTACTTGGCATTAGAGTATCAGTACCTAACCAAGCTGTAACTATTCAAAATAAAAACTCAATTTGCATAACGTTATCCATTTGACGTCCAATATACAATTATCATTATGCATGCATATCATATCAAATAGAAAAGCGGGGCACATATTAGTGTTACAGTGCATTTGCTTTGGGTTGCTGTGTGCAGTTGGGCTCCTTGGCATTATAATGATGACAACAATGACGGGTTTGCACTTCTTGCTGGTCAGCAGCTTTTTTTAATTAGATCTACTGACAGCAAGAAAAAAATCTAAATGGCATTACATTACATAGTGTCAGCAACTTCAGTTTCACTGACTTACGCTGCATGATGCGCCTTCACCTGCGTGCGGCAGTTACGTCCCCAGTAACAGTCTGGACGAGACGTTACAGTAGCTGAAGACAGAATATTTAATGAGGTTAGTACAGTGCAGCAAAGGTTTAGATATATTTTTAAAAAAAGTTAAAAAAAAAAAAAAAAGGAGCACTTGAACTTTTGTCACAAAATATTTAGTAGGATTTTCTGACCTGGCAATTCAGATGAAGGGATGTTCTGTCTGTATTTGTAGGCCAGCTCCTTGAAGGCTCGCAGGCCACAGCAGAAACACAGGATGGCGTTTGCAGAGACACGACAATCTGAGAGAAGATCGAGTGTTATTGCTCCGATTCTAAACAGCACTGTGTACAGTGCATGTGCAGCACTCACTTTCAGTGGACTCACCTGTCAGAAGGTAGTTTCCTTGCTGTAAACCCTGCAAAGAGTCCTTCAGCAGATCTTTCCAAGACTGCCCCCTGGAGGATAAGTAGTTCTGGTGGAAGGATGGAAAGAGTACATGCTGACATACAGGTCACAGGTTGTAAGATGACTGCATTTATTTGGTGCTTTACACCACTGCATTAACTATTGCACGGTAAATAAGTGGTCAACGAAAATACTGACTCATAAAACAATGGATACAAGTCCATCTTACCCGCAGGACCTCTGATTCGTAGTTATTGTTGTTCAGCACACCATCCAGGCATTTGTCAGTCAGGTTGAGGTCTGAAAAAGTGGATTTTAATTGTCAACATAATAATAACACTAATGAATTAGCTGATTCACAGTTCTCAGACCATTTCAAATTTTAATTTAAATTTCAGAGTAAAAACAACAAACAGTTTTTGGAGAGTTTTTTTAAATGTGTTAAAAAGACAACAGTTGACAACAAAAAGGCTTTGAATGGGAATGAGTGCTGTTTTTCTTAAGGTAATGAATTTCAGATACTGTTCATCTGCTGCAAATACTGTGTTTTTACAGTATTGTGTAAAGCTCTTTAGGAGTAGTGCTTTATCTCAACTGTTTAGCTGCTACAGTACTGTACTTAATGAACTCTTATTATTGAAAAACATACCAGTTTAATGCCTCTAATAATAATAATAATAATACATTTTCAGAGTGTTAGATCATACACTGTATTCACCATAAAATAATGCTACGTCTAGTGTTTAGGATTTTTGTAAACATAGTTCATATAATAGGAAAAAAGAAAAATACAAATATTGGATTTGGGCACTATTCAGGATTCAGTCCTTTCAATTAGAGGCCAAAACAAATCCCACAAGGGTGAAGGTTTACAGTGAACACAGGATATCCTGGAGCTATTTCGCTCAAACAGATACATACCACAGAATCGAGCCAGACAGCCCTGACAACCGATCCTCTGGCAACCCCAGTACATATGACAGAAAGGTCGTTGGCACAGCACACCTGCCAAAACACCACAAATCATCCATCTAAGGTGCAAAAAAAAATCTATTTATAGATATGGCTCACAAATTTGGAATTTATCCATCAGTCGATTCTATATAGAATACATACCACAAGGCTACATAAACAGAGCAGCCTTACACAGCCCTCTGTGCACCGGCTTACGGTCTTGTATTATCTGACATGATCTCTTTGTATTTCACTATAGTTGCATGCAAATTTCTGAGTGACAGTCAAATTGTAGTCAATCGTATTCAGTCAACGCAGACGTTACATTTCGGCAGACGGACTAACAGGTGTTGATGCCACTCACATTGTTGAGCAATAACCTGCTGGTTGCCGAGCTCGGCCCGCCTGTCTGGCATTGGCTGGAGGCAGCAGGTGCATATGAGATGGCAGCCCTGAGGGGGGCAGCGGTACTCCTGAGGAGCTGCAGGCAGGAAAGAAGTGTTGGACAAGAGCCAAGATGCAAAGATGTGTTAGCAAATCAGGAGAAATGTTGCTGTTGTGCTAAAGTGGGCTTTAACATGCACTGTCTGACCACACAATCATTCTTGTTTAACGCGTTTGGTGTTAGAGTGCCAACCACAAAGACGCCTATTTATGCCACTATTTACAGAAAAACAGGCACAGTGGTGACACGACGGCATCTATAGCTGAGCAATAGCAGTTATTTTATTACATTTCCTAAAATCTTTGATTTTTCCTCTAACTTACACTCATTATTATTATCCGAGGATGTTGAGGGCATCTCTGCTGAGGCCTTTGCAGCCGCCTCCTCGCTAACTGGGTTGGGAGGTGGAGGCATAGGCTGTAGACTTGGCAGACCGGGGAACCAGTAGCTTGAGCTCGAGGCAAAGAGGAGCTGGTTCACATCACTCCTGTAGCCAGGACACTGTCTGCACATCACCAGAGGCTGACTGGAGACAAGGAGCCATCACAATAAGATTTTGTTCGCTACAACACCTATCTAAAATGATTTTACAGAAAAATATGATTTGAAACAACAGAAGAAACAAAACTACATGTCAGGTTTATTACTGATTTATTACCTGATATCTGAGGAGTCACTGTCATTATCAGAGAGCTCAAAGAGGTAATCTGAACTGCCCTCTTCATCAGAGAAAGAGCGCTCAACTTTTGGCTGCAACATGTCCTGAGTTATCTTGTTACGGCTGTCCATGCTTTTCAGGTCGTCCTCGCTGCGACACTTTTCTGTGGGACAGTTTGTTTAGAATGAGCTCATTAAGGAAATCAAGTAAAGTTAAGTGCGCCGATCTCTCGTGTTTCATCAATGGTACACAAAAAGACAAAAATCTGTGCAGGTTTACAGTGGCTGAGGGCAAAGAGCAAAATAAGACTTAAAAAAAAGGGGTCCACTGTGCACACCTGGATGCTGGATGAGGTAGGCCTCTACCAGGTTGTTGAGAATGTGGTTTTTATGAATCCTCTCCACAGGGCAGCGGCAGGTGGGGCAAAGGGAAGAGCGTTCCATCCAGCCGGAATAGCAGGCAGCACAGAAGACATGCATGCAAGGCTGCAAACTACAGGAAAAAAAGAAAAAACCAAACCCACACCTTTATTGGCATAGGATCAGACATTCCCAACAGCTGGAAGCTGCTAAACAGCTGGAAGCTGCAAAGAGATTAACCAGGTTCTACCATTTAATAATGATCCTAGTCATTGCTCCATGAGCATTGCTGGAGGTGAGGTAAATGAGCAAGCACCCTGGTGAGACTTTCTACTTGGTTCCCACCATACTGCTCACTCACATCACTCTAAACACCTTGGACCAGGCCCATAAAGGACTATTGTTTGTTCTACCTCCAATAGAAATCCCCCTGAGTATAGCTACCTGCTATCTACATGCAACTACTTTCATATCGCTGCAAACGACTACCATAGCTGCATTACACCTGGACAGAGTAATTTGCACCGTGCGGGTTTTACAGCTCCATCCAATGGCTTCACTTAGGGAAATGTGACCACCTGTTATTGTTCTTGGTTTCTACCTAAAGGCAGAAATTATAGAGATCTCACGCACACTGAGATACTGTTCAATTGTAATGGAAAGCGACTGAAATTGAGTAGTCTAGTTAAGGACCAGTAGAAAAGAGGCTAAAGCGAGCGACAGGTCAACACCCTGTGTGCTTTGTTTCAAGCTTGTTAGAATTGCACAAACACTGTTTTTGCCACATATACTGTTGGGCAGAAGCAGACACCTTTTTTTTTTTTATTGTAACTTAAACATGAAAGGAAAAAGAAATAAATCAGGTCACCTGACACAGTCATGTAGCAGGTCCTGGCAGATAACACATGTCAAGCTTTCCTCCATCTTATCCGTCTTAGTCCCTTCTACTGGTGGTTTTGAGGAACTAACCACTTCTGGCCTTGAGCTGCATGGCACACCTAATTCATAAGATTTATCTGTAAACACAGTAGGTGCACATTATAAATCAGAACACACACAAAGCGTGAGATTAAAATGAAATGTGGCTTGGAACATGATGGCTCTGACAAAATCAGAGAAGTTAAGGGAATCTAGTTTAATCTCAAAGTAACATATTCATTAACCATCATCGGTTTTCCTCCTCTTGCTTGTTGGCTCCAGGTTTTCTGTTTCTTCCTCCTGTGTAGTGGTTGGATCCTTAGCTTGGCCTAATGAGACAAAAGAACAACAGTTGTGGGTCAAATAATGACTTCAATGCTCTAAACTACTTGTTTTTAATAGATCACAGATTACAACATTTTCCAATTAAGTTTAGTCTGGTCTAAATTTATTGGATCAACCAATACATGACTATCCATCCATCTCTCTCTCTCTCTTTATTTTTTTTAGTGCAAGTGGAACATGAAAATTATACTGTAGACCGTTTTACAGCTGTATTTTAAATAATCCCACAAACTTTCAAGGATAAACAAAAGCAAACTACCAGACATTCAGTCAACTGTGGTTCAAGCAAATAAATAATACATAAATAAACAAATACAAATTCTGAAAAACACAAGAGCCGTATTATATAAACGAGGTGGCCAGTGAGGCTCGTATATGGATCAGCTGTGCTACTTGACCAGAAACTTGATGTGGTAGCAAAGTATGACACAAGTGTCCAGTTTACTAAATCCATTTATTTTTGACGTAAGCATTGTTCTGTAATGTTGCCGAGATCACATTTGCAGTTAAGTGCATTTAGTGGTGAGCGTGACTTTTTTATGTGTTTGTAAGAGTCTTTAATCCCATCAAACTTCAGACACGCTGGTCGGCACTGCAGCTCTATGTTAAGACACTTATCAACTCCAAGTGCTCTAACCTACAACAAACGTGTCATGCTGAAAAAATAAACAGCACTTACTTACCAACCTGTTGGAAACAAATCATACCAACCTGGCTTTTTGTGAAACTTTCAGACTGTTCTCTTTTTAAAATCACGTTTATTCATTTTAAATCAGGTAAGTTATTTTGAGTGTGAACACAAGGTACCAGCAGCCCAGCTGTCTAAGCTGGTGTAAGATAAGGAACATTTACTTAGTTTGAAATAAAAAAAATAAAATAAAGTCATATAGTGAGGTTCTATTGAGCAGACAGTGTCACTTGGTAATCTGTGACCAGCTAACATGGTTGTGTGTCCCGAATAATGAGCAGGTGTTAAACAGCTGAGGGTGTACAAGATGTATGCAGGTAACACGAGTGTTTCCATGGAGCTGATCTGTTAGCCTAACCTGATATGACCAACTATTCCAGCCACGTGATTGGTTCAGCATGGTATTATTCTCATTGGCCTTTTGTGTTCTGGCAAAACATGGATGAAATGACTTCTATTGACTTACTATTGACCATAACTCTGCTGAGGATAGCTTCTTTTACCATAATCATCTTTGTTTATTTACTGCAGAGAGTGACTGTAAAGAAAATGGCACCGTACCAGCAGAGTACTCTGAACCTAAGATTTCAAGATTGAGAAACAAATCAGTACACAAAGCAGATGCAAGCAGACAGAAATGGCAGTTAAACACTGGGCCAGATATAATCAATAATGACCAGCTGGACACGTGTCAAACAATAAAGCTGAATTAGCGTAAACTTCAGTATTGATCAGCTGTAAATCATCTTCTTCCCTCACTAACTGTAATCAGAGTTTCATAAAGAAAAGGAAAGCAGCACAGAGTCCTCACAGCTCTCTGTCTGCTCCTCTACAGCAGTTAATCATCCGTCACACTGTCAAAACACATGAGCTGGTGGTACCAATTTATGTCAGAACAATTACATTATTATTATTCTCAATATTCATTTCTACAACTATATTTTACTAAACACCTGCAATATTATAATTTTTTAAAGCAATAACAACCAGACTTTAGACAGCTAAAACAAACTACACAGGGACTATATTAATATAACCTATTTGGTGGCTGCCTTCCAGAGGAATTAGAGAAATTGGGAAAATGGGAATGCCAGTTTTAGTCCACGTTTATTGGACTCTCTCCATCAAAGAGCTGAAGCTACATGTGGAACAAAAGCAGGAGAAAACTGCTCACATTGCTCTGCTCAGAAGTACAGAAAGCCACCAAATAGCATCTCTACTGCTCAGCAATTAACACATTATATTTTACTTGTCTCATCTGGAGAAAATAGTATTGTTGTCTTTCTAAGGAGTTCCCTGCAACAAACTTCTGAGAGCCATGACCACAGAACACTATTCCCACCAAAGCAATCTAAAGATGCTGTAGTTAGTCCATGCAGCAGGCACAAGGGGCTTTGTATACCTCAAATGCAGAGTGTACCGGGGATTTATCTGAAACACACTTTTATTAAACGCTGCCATTTTTCCTAATAGAGATGCACCGATTGACCAATTTTCAGTGTTCTGAGTCAGACAAACCGGCTGGACACCCTCCCATATATCAGATGCTCAACACACACTCACAGCAGCCACAAGCTAACATGTAGCTAGCATGGAAGCTCTTCAACGTGACTGAAAACATGAAGTTTGGTAAAGCATGAAAATATTCTTAACAGCAAACCTGATCAGACGCTGAAATCACCTTCCCTCATTAACATGGAAATTTAAAAACACGCTAACAAGGATAAAGTGGCTAAAGGTAAAACTATCTCCAGCTCAAAGCCACAAACCAGTATGAGCCTTCAGTATGAAAAAAATCAGAAGTAGAAAACTGTGACGAGTGGAAAGAAGAACAAGGCTGATGTTATAAACATATTAGAAAATGATGTGAGAACATGGCATTTGTCGTTTTTTATGAATCTGTTGCACCTGTGTTTGGTTGGTAAGGTAAATTATATCAGATTCAGGCAGGTATAGCAGCTCATCTCCATTTAATTATCTGTCCCTCCTTCCAGTAGCAGAAGCTTTCTCTGTAGCTGTTTGAGTGAGAGAAAATCTTGTAACTTACTGCAGTTTAGGGGAATTTATAAAGTGCACCTATAATTTCTAATTAACTGGTCATGTGTAAACAGCCTGATGTCTTATTCTAAATTCCTCACATTAGCCCTTTTAATATTTTACAGTGTAGAAATGTTGTAATTGATGACCTATCCTGTGAGATCAATTAGATACATTTCCTGAAACACCAACACAAAGACTGTCCTCCAGCTTTACTGATCTCACTTGGAGTAAATACAAAGCAAAAAGAATAGAATTTCAACTTCAATACTTATATATCACTGATAAACCATTTCTGAGGTCATGGGGGGTTATTATTTATTAAAAGATAACTACAAACATGTGAATGTGGTGCTTTTTGTTTTGTCAGAAGTTGCAACACTTGAGTTTCTCATCTTAATGTTCTTTGATTTAAAGCTGAAATATTTTGAAACAGCGTTCCATCGGTTTCTTTATGCACCAAAACAGGTCAGAGAGACTCTGCAATTGTTTTTAACACCAAATCCAAACAAGTAACCGGAGCAAATGAGAAAATTAAAATAAGAAGACAGCGCAGTGAGTGAATGAGTAGGCGAGGCAACGTGTCCCACTGCAGTGAGTGTGTCAGCTTGCTGTCTGACAGAGGAGTGGGCGAGAAAGCGCAGGTGCTATCAGTGTTCAGTGCTGTGTAAAATCTGTATTTAGGTATTGTAATATTTCAGAAAAAACTGCTTTTTGTGTTTGGCCCTGGAGCAGGTCATCTATTAATCGGAAGGTTGGTGGTTCGCCCGCTCGCTGCTAAAGTCTGCATGCCAGAGCATATCCTTGGGAAGGCTGCTCCTGGATCATCACAATGTTAGCTAGAAAGCACTTGGACATACAAAGGAGTGCTTGTGTGAATGGGTGAATGAGGCATGTTGTATAAAGAGCTCAAGTGTTCAAGTAGAGTAGAAACATGCTATATAAGAAGCGGCCCATTTATCATTTCATTCAAAAGACGTGGCTGTTAACTACTCTTTTTTTCTATTTGAAGACGTAATTTAGAGAAGCTCCAAACGGTAAATGTACATAATGTAAGACTTTAAAGAGTGATTTTTAATCTTATGAATAATCCCCACGGTCCTTTTGCACACCAACCTTTTAAAAGTGCGTGAGTAGAGAACCCACCAGTCACAGGAGAGCCTGTGGTTGCCATGGCACCAGAAGAGTAAGCAGTCTCAATACAGAAGTGTGAAGCAGAGGTAGAGGGTTGAGGTTCCTCCTGAGTTGCATCCCGAGGAGCCTTTGAGAGCATTACAGGCTCTACAGAGAGGGCCATCTCTGAACCTGGAAGAGGAGGAGGACGGCTGTGGGCTGAAGTCTGAGTACAGAGTGGGAGATGACTAACAAAACAAACAGAAGTAAAGATCTACCGAGTTCAGCCACAACATTAAAATCACAGACAGATGAAGTGACTCGTTTTGATCGTGTTGCTTTTGTGTAATATGCTGCTGGTGAACAGTAGCCCATTGCATTCATGTAACTAAGTGGCATGTACCACCCACCAAGCACTGATACCGACCAGCTCTGGACACCACAGGACACTTTAAGGACAGGCAGGGCTCCCAGAAACTGAGTGTGTTTTGGTAGTACAAAGGGGTACCTTCACAACATTAGCCAGGTGGTTTTAATGTTGTGTGTTGTGGCTGGTTTGTGTAATTAGCTCCTTTTGACAAATTAATTGTGGGGAACTACTCAGGTACTCACCATAATTGTGTTGTGAAGCTGTGTGATCCATTTTGATGGAGTGGTAAACATAGGCGATGTCTACAGGGTGGCAAGAGCACACAGCGTACGCGTTTTTGTCTTCATATACACACATACAAAATAATATATCATTGTTATAGTTCACAAATTCAAAACTCACTTTGTTCAGGTTCACTTTTCCTGTACACAAAGTAGATGACATCGCCATTCTGCAGCATGTGAGTTTGTTTCTTGACCAGTTTGGACATGTTGATCACTGTGCCATTAGTGCTACGGACAGACAGACATGATATTTAACTATACTGCTTATACTAGGGCTGCTCAATTAATCGAATTTTAATCACGATTACAATCTGGGCTTTCAACGATCATTAAAAATGACTGAGCCGATTATTAGCCCCTCCCTCGTGCTTTACTCTCGCGCTGCTCCGTGTGGCAAATCGAGCGCACCTCTCTGCATTTCGAACACGTGTCACAACAATTAAGAGCAGCGGTCCCCAACCTTTTTTGCGCCACGGACCGGTTTATGCCCGACAATATTTTCACGGACCGGCCTTTAAGGTGTCGCGGATAAATACAACAAAATAAAACTAGTACCGGTACCGAAAAAAAGAAAATTTATTCATAACACACGTGAAAAGACCCAGGAAAACCGAGTAAACGATAAAAACGAACAAAATAACGCAAACTAGGGCTGCCACAAACGATTATTTTGATAGTCGACTAGTCACCGATTATTTATGCGATTAGTCGACTAATCAGATCATCATCCACTGGACGTAAAACTACAGCTTATTGCACCAGCAGCATCTGCTCTTATATAACTATCATTAGCTTACAGCTTTAAGCTTTTAAGGTGCTAACTAAAAATAAAGACAAGATGATAGTTTATTCAATTTTAATGAAATTTGCAGATTGTTTCGGTAAAGTTTAATAAACTCCTTGCTATCTAAAATATAACAGGACACCGGAGTAAATTCTCCAGCATCTCACACTTCTGATAATCAGCTGTCTGCTTGACGTTTATTCAGCTGTGTAAAAACTATAACTTTAATCTCAGCCAAACCGATTTACTCAGGAACAAATAAAATACTGAAAAAAAAAAGCCAAACAACAACATTTTTAATTTAAGTGACTCATATATATTTAACCTGAGTCCCGAAAGACGGCGGTGGGTTTGAAAACAATTTGCCGGGAGTCTGGTGTTCTCACGGCGCCCCGGCTAGCTATCGAGCTAGTGGGTAACAGACGTCTCCGAAAACGTTGGAGCGCTTTTGAAAATATGTGGTGTCCTGATAAACTGAGCAGATATTTGAGGTTTACACAGCTACATTCTCGCCTGAAAATATGTTAAACGTTTATTTTGTGACCCAGAAAGAATAATAAGAGTAATATTAAAACTAACTAGCTGCCGCCATTGTTGGAAACTAAGCTGGGCCGCGCTATGAATTCTGGGACACAGCTGCTTCTTCTTCTTCGGGTTTAACGGCAGCTGGCATCCTTGTACATGCAGTGCTGCCATCTTCTGTTTCAGTCCGTTATTACACTCTTAAATCCTGCTACTTATTCCTGCGTCTTTTGCGATCTTACAAAGCTTCAAACGACACGTCGACTATTAAATCAGTCGTCGACGATTTTGATAGTCGACGTAATCGTGACTAGTCGACAAATCGTGGCAGCCCTACTGACAACCGATAAAAACCCTGAAAACCAGACATTTCACACCTGAGCCTCAACTCTCACGGCCCGGTACCAAACACTCACGGACCGGTACCGGTCCGAGGCCCGGGGGTTGGGGACCGCTGATTAAGAGGACCCGAGGGAAGCTCGGAAAGCTAAGCAGAAGTTATTTGGAGAGGAGAGTGACTGCCGTTGGTTGAAAAGAGAGGTAAAAAAAACTTCAGTGGTGTGGAAACATTATGGGTTCAGTCAGACGTGGATCAAGTAGACATAGTGTGTAAACTTTGCTACAGTGTCGTAGCTGCACCACAGAGCAACACTGCAAAGTTCACTAAACATAGATGTTTACATTTTTCATTTATTTTTTATATTGCAAACATTTGCATTCTATTTTATATAATTTTTTGACAATCTTTAAAGTCATTATTCAACACATTGTTATTGTTAAATAAATATCGTCAAATAATCGAGATCTCAATTTCAGTGAAAATAATCGTGATTATCATTTTTGCCATAATTGAGCAGCCCTAGCTTATAGGTCTGCTTTACAAAGGGGCATTATGAACAAATATGAACTAATGCTCACCATGTCCCACTTAAATATTCAGTGTGTGAACTGCCCATTTTGTACTAGGTAGTGAAGATGTGCATTTTTTTGCAGCTGGGGAAAAAAACTGATCCAGCAGAGTGATATTGTGGTCATATTGTATCAATACAGGCCTCCGTATATCAACACTTTATTACATGAATTGAAAAATCTCTGGGAATAGAACAAGCAGTCATCTCATGTGCCACCATCCAAACAAACTTACATTAAATCAGCTCAACTGAAAAACCAACACACTTATCTTGACAAAACTGCCTCCTAATAAACAACAGTTTTTGATTCCAAGGCGATTACACAGGTCACCTGATAAAAGGCAACCTTTCTGCAAACAGTCACAGTCTGACTTGTACTGACTGCAGTCACTCTCAGACAGACTGTCAAAAGTTTGCAAACAACTGCGGTCTAATTTATAAATGCCTACATGTTGCCATCAGTCTGAATGAGTCTTTGTTAATGAGCACATCTCGAGGGGACTCGATTCAGCTGGCTGCCAGCTGCTTGTATTCCTATAAAACAGGAAGGTGGCTTAATATATTGTTTAAAATCGCAAAATCCATAATAGGCTAGCAAGTTACGATGCTCTCAGATTAATGGAAAAAAGTGAATGACTGAAAAGGAGCTTTAAAAGTGTACGCGTCTCCTTTTTCTTTTCCCTCTATCTCAGTAGGACATTCTCAACCTGGTGGTACACGTTTCTGATAACTCCCAGTGTCTTTTCAACCAACTTCTTCTAAGAGTTTTATTTCTACTCAACGGTGCAGCAGAGAGCTTATTATTTTTTATAATGATATTCAGTTTGGCCCACTGGGAAAACAAGCAAATGATATGAGTGGTACAAAAGTTCAGCCTGGAGTACCTCATGTCTTCAAGCCACACCAGCCCTGAGCTTTCATCTTTCACAATCTTGCAGTGCTCCCCTGAGACAAGTTTATTCGCTGGAAAGGAAAGATAACATCCTGGAAACAAAAAAATGAAAAGTGCTATCATGAAAATATAGAAATTCCTAGTTTTTCTGCTTTTAAAAGCCCATCTCGAGAGAACATTATAGGTTATAAAAGGCACCTGTAAACCATTACAGCACAAACATATTTTAAATCCCCCTCCACCAAACATTCTATAACAATGCTTCATTAATCCAATACCATCTATATTGAGTTTTTAATCTCTAGCCAAATTTAAGCCTTTAAAAACATCGCATGTTATACCTGAAATTGTGCTGCTGTGACATTTTTAAATCATTCGCAGCCCAGACATAAGCAAACTAATTAAACCTAGCAGTTTTGCATTGCAAAAAGGCAGACCCCCAAAAAGCACTCGACAACAAAAGCAGACACAGGGAGAATTATAGACCTAACCTTTTCTTTAGTAAAAACCCAAACAAAAAAAAAAAAATCTACTTAATATTCTGCACGCATGTTCTCGATGGATGTCTTTTGTTCTCATCACAAGGGCCTGTCTAAGTTTGGTTCACTAAAAGAAAGCTTTGTGTTTTCAAGGGGGAGGTTTCAAAAGCTCCAGACACTGACAGCAACGTCTGCGCTCCTGACAGGACTGTCATTTGTTAATAGGCATCAGAAAATTAAGCGTTTCAAAACAAAAGGAGATAAAAACAAAGCAAAACAAACAAAAAAAATGCATTGAATTTAATGCCAATCGTTTCTCGTTCCCAAACACAGTCAAACTTAACCACCTTTTTTTCTGCCAACCGTGCATTCACTGTTGAACAGCATCACAGTTTCACTGGAGTCCACTTTGACAAGCTTCCCCCACGCTCGTCCTCTCCTACTGTCCATGTCCCAGGATGCTTTGTTGGCTTTCTTCCCCCCTTTTTCTACAGAAGTTAAGAGAAAACAAGTTTCACTTTGGCGTTTTTTCAGGGGATTTCCTAGAAACATGGTAGCAGAGAGAAAGTGAAATTAAATTTCTGCCTATGATAAAATTACAAAGCTCTTTAATTTCTTCGTCACTCACACCAACTATTAACAGTTAACAAGAAGCAAATGCTTACATTTAAAAACACTGGTGTTCTTATAGACACTAATAATAATTAGAAATTATTTTTTTCAGATTAACACACAAGAGCCATACGTCAACCCAGCATTTATTTTACTAAGCTTGTTTTTTTTTGTTTTTTTTTAATATTTTATCATTACTTTTTAAGCCGAATAATTCTTCGAACTGTGTTTATGAAGTCCTGTTAAACATATCTAGTTTTAAACATCATGTTTACGTGTAGGATGAGTTTACAAACAGACTAAACACGTTAGTGCAGAAATGCACATTACTACATCAGCGAAGCTACATTAAACTGAACGAATCTCTCATGAAGTTTGGTACGAAATGATGGGGGGGAAGACCCCTCCTAACGACACTGGGCTTAGCTTGACATACGTGAGTTTGCCTGCTACATAGCTAAACTACTAGCTGACTATGCTCTGCTACATGTTAGGGGGGAAAGGTTATTTCAACTGTCAGCTATCAAGGTGACAACTTCTTAAATACGAGGTGCAGCGAGTTACCAACACACACGTACACACACAACTTCAATAATAAGCTAACGCGACTGCTAACATTAGCAGCCGTTCATATTTTGCGACCAAGACAAAAACGGGAGTACTTCGGTGCGAGTACTAGCAATGTCTGTAATGTCGTTTATATGTCGTGTCGGAAACGGTTTCCCTACCGTCAAAAGCTTAGTTTGTTATCCCAGAAACTGCGTGAAAACGAGCTTCTCCCGTTCATGTTCCAACTAGCTTCAGGCACAAGATGCACTTCCTGCCCAGCTTTGGGTTGACCGTCATCAGCTGATGGAGGAGGGGCACGTCGTGGATTCACTGGGTTCAACTTCCCACAGACTGCGCGTCTCCTCTGGTATCAATACGACACCAAGTAAAAACAGGGCCAGTGTTGCCAATACAGATACTTTACTTTTATTATATAAAGGCAGCTTATGTAGGTGAGAGCAGCGTGTCACGATTTAGGAGGCGAATTATCATCAATTTGCAAATTCTGAACACATTTTAATGACCACCAAGTCCCTGCGATTTTTTCTATCCCACAATTCCTGGTTAACACAACAAAACACATCTTTCAGCTTTTCACGGGTTTGAAACCGAGATTTTTTTGATTGTTTAAGTTACTGTAGGCTATAAATAAAACAGATGTAACAATCAACACAAAAAGGCAAATTTGAGGCTTATTTTTCCTTTCCAAAAAATAAAAAATAAAAAAAAAACCAGAAGGCTGTTTTGATGAAAAGTATTGATCCTAGTATTGATCTGATACCAATATTAGCGGTGGTATCTATAGAATCGATATTTGGATTGATCTGCCCACCTCTGGGTTCTAGATGAGATACTCCCCCCCCTTATACGCACACTTGGAGCTGAAGCACCTGGCTGTCCTCCACTGCTGACAGGTAACGATGAGGAGGTAGATAAAGTACTCCAGACATTTCTGGTCTTCCAAAGTTGAATGCTGCAGGCTTGAGTAATGAAAATGTTCCAGCTCGACTCTAAATTTAATTTTTGCAAACCAAATGTCTTGGCTTCGTACCGCCGCACCTGTACATGCTCAAATACTGGACTGTCAGAAATACATGAATCAATATGGATTTGTGGGCCTTTGTGTTTCACTTAGTTCCAGCAGATATTTCCAGTAAGTAAATCTGTTTATTCCATTCAGTCCTTAAAGTTTTCAAAACAATAACTGGGATTTGAAGAGGGGCTGGTGATAAGCTCCAAAACAGCTTCACAGCGGACCTTGTAGCGAGGTTATTTTGTTGTTAATAACACAGGAACAGTCTCTGCATGAATATGCAAAACCTATCCCTCAAGCTATTATAAACAAGACAGCATGACAGACAAAAATATTTTCCCCATTAAAATTAAAATGCTGTTAAAGTTCCTGAGTCCCCACATGAAGTATTTTTTTGCATGCCTTTGTGTTTTGCCTTATAGAGCTGTCATATTTTGCTGCATCACCAGCTTGTAAACATCCCAGAATCAGCAAAACCTCAGCCAATTCTTTATGTCACTCACTAAATAGATTTAGATATGTTTTTGCACACTGACACTTTTTTCCTGCTAAATTTGACCTCTGTGCACACCACAGTGGATTTTAAATCAAGCACTCAACATCCTTTTAGCTTTAATTCAAGCCTTTAAGAAAGGTTTGCATTAGAGACCATTTATATACAGTCTCTAATTTTCAGAGGCTCAAAATTATCTGGAAATCTCACAGGAAATTTCCAGTGAACTCTGATATCCAAACAGATCTGGATGCAAGTGAGACAAATGATCCTATCAGAGAGATGATAAAACCTTTAGCAGTGGCTAAATATACAAAATACTATAGAAAGCAGAAATGCATTGGCCAGCTCAGCAACACTGAAAGGGCTGAAAGACTGCAAAGAAATGTAATGGATGAAACTCCTTCATGATATTTAGCCAAATGAAGAGCTCTCTGAAGAAGGCAGGTGCACACTGTCAAAGTCTACAATCCAGAAAGTGGCTTTACGAATTTGAATACAGAGAGTTTACTATGAGATGCAAATACCTGGTTCCACTGAAAAAACAAACATCTGAAATAGGCTGCACAGCTGTCAGGCATGGTGGAGTCAGTGTTATAACATGGGCATGTTTGACTGCAAGTGGAACCAAGTCACTAGTGTCTACTGATAATCCGAGTGCTCTGAAATGTACAGGGCTCTACGCTCTGCTCAGATTCAAACAAATGATTCAGATACTGTTCACCTGCTGTAAGAGGTTCTTTTAGGTCTCCCACTTATTCTTTTTGTCCTCCACTTGTCCAGTCTAGTCCTAAATTTAGTAAGGACACACTATGGCTAACATCTCTTTGGAAATCACCTTGTTGGTGAACAAGGCAAAAACAGAATTTTGTGTTTTTATCTTTCATAGATCCAACTAAAGAAATGGGGACAGATATGTTTGCAGCATCCTGGTAGCAAATTGTCTAAAGACAGAAAAGAACTGGTTGTCTGTCATGTGTAAACACAACAGTGGTTCAAGAACTAGATAAACAAAAACACCCCTCCGACAATGATCAGGAACAAGGACTGGACTGAAAAGGAGCATAAAAGCAGCCATTGTCCTTTGATCTTTAAAAAACGTGGAGTAAGAAATAATACAAAAAATATAAAGAACTTGGAGGTGGCTCAAGACTTTTTCACAGCAGCATTTGAACAAACTTAATGATGACACTACTTCTACACTACAACAAGCATATCTTTCTTCAAACACAGTAAAAAAACTTTTTTTCCTTCTATTCTTCAACATACTTTGAGAGTTCGAGAGGGTAATCAATGCAAAGAAAAATGTAGGTTCTTCTGCCTTTGCACCATTTTAATGCAACTTAAATGTGTCATACAATGCTTGGATCTCAAGTAAAATGTCTATGGTATACTTATAACTGTGGTATCAAATAAGTCTGTGAATGCTTTAAGTTACCTGTAACATGCAGGACCAACATTTTGTAGTCAGGAAAAACAGTCCCCAACATTTAAAACTCAATCCACCAAATGGTTCGCGCCTTTCGTGGTAACACGACAAGGCTCCATTTCAAGCTCCTAAAACTCTTAAGGTTCCTTAAAGATGTGCTGGGAATTAATTGCACAGATATATTTCCACACAGTTTTGGGAACCAAATGAATTTTACTGTACTGTAATGTGACCTATATTAAGACATGACTCACCTGCACCAGTTTTCTGTGTTTCGTATGTAGCAAATACTATTACATTAATGCATTTGAAAGTTAGGAGTAGTTGCTCATCCACTCCAGTTAGACGCAAATAGTTATGCAACTACAGATGCACAGTTATTAAATGTACATTTACTTTGTCTTGATAGGAAATCAGTGCTTCTAGTCGCTTTTCACACTGCAACGACTAATATAATATAATATAATATAGGATTCCAGTCCCGTTACAAGTGGGCTGATTCTTCTTGGTTAAAAAAGACCAAGGTGTCTCTGTAAAAGCAAACGAGTCCTTAATGAAGGACTAATCTCAGCAAACCTCCATCTACTCTGTGCCAATGTATTATTAATGGGCAGGCGGCAGGATGGTGAGCGCAGGGCCCTCTCCTCACTAGCGCATTCATTCCTCGCTGCTCCATATCTGCTAGAGAAACTGCGCAGTGCGCACGTGCTGGAACACACGCGTGTTGTGCACACACGCGCAAACAAAGGTGTGCCATCTATTAAGAAACATTTTTTAAGGGAGATTATTAACCTATTAGATGGCATTCAGTGGAGAACGCGAAACCTCTACAGATCCCCTGATATAGTCACAACATCAAATTGAAGGCAGCTTATTGAATCCCATGCGCACGCTCACGTCAATCAGCATTTCCTAATTGGATCAAAGATTACTTGTGGCAGCTGCATGAAACATCAAACGAGTAATTAAATGAAATAATGAGAAAATAAACCTTAATGTTGCCAAGTGGGAATGGAGGCGAGCTGAAGAACGTGATTTGGCTGTGTTCTCTGAAATTATCTCTCTCCGGCTCGGGCTAATTGCTGGAGGATGTCCTCTTAACTAAGTGTGAAAGGCTGTGTCTAATTACTGCAACATTAATCAGGCATTAGCATGTGATCACAAGGTTAACTTATCAGGAGGGGCCCAGAAGCAGCTGGATGTGTCATTCACCCGCAGTGCACTGGGCCAACTGGGCCACAAGGGGTAGTGCTTGTTCTTCCTGTGAGTCAATACCGAGAGACGCGCTGAAAGTGGGAGCTGAAATCAAAGGCAACCATGTTGGATTGGACTTACTGAGGCTTTCATATTCCTCGCTGTGGAATGGG